GCTCCAGTCGTTGCGGCCGCTTGGGGAGCGAATCATTGGCCGGAAGATCTTCCTCTCTGTCTCGCCTCCTCTCTGTATATCTGCCTTTCCAATAAAATAAATTTTTTTTTTTTAAGATTTGAAGGTCCAACATGGAATCCCATATGGGTGCTGGTTCTGGCCCTGGCTACTTGTGGCCTGGGAAAGCAGTTGATGGCCAAGGCCCTGGGACCCTGCATCTGAATAGGAGATTGGGAAGAGGCTCCTGGTTCCTGGCTTTGGATCAGCTCAGCTCCTCTGGCTGTTGCAGCTACTTGGAGTGAACCAGTGGATAGAAGATCTTTGTCTCTCCTGTTTATCTTTCTAATAAAAGTAGGTGGATCTTTTAGAAAAAAAATTGTTATATTTTTAAGATTTATTTTTACTGAAGTCAGATTCATAGAGGAGAGACATATCTTCATTTACTGGTCACTTCCCAAGTGGCTGCAACAGCTGGCGCTTAGCTGATCTGAAGCCAGGAGCTTCTTCTGGATCTCACATGTGGGTGCAGGGTCCCAAGGCTTTGGGCTGTCCTTGCTTGCTTTCCCAGGCCACAAGCAGGGAACTGGGGCAGCTGGGATACAATACCCATATTTTTAAATAATGATTAATTACAGAATTCTTAATAAATTTGACTGTCCTTACAAAACAGGAGTTTGGATTCAAATGTACTATCTTAATGAAGGCCACAATTTCAGAGGTCTGAGACATTGTCCTTCCTGCATATATATGGTGAACTTCAAAGAGTACAAGGCAAGCGGAATAAAAATTTATTTATTTTGGTGCAAAACCCTTTTGAAATCCATGATCTTTCACAATACACATTCTCCATTGTATACATAGCTTTGTATACAAACACACAGCACACATACAAACATTATGCTCTCTCCACCACACACCCTGAATGTAACAGTTCCATAGCAAGCAAACTGTGTGGCCTAACTACCAAAGACCCACATTCCCTAGCTCTTCACTGAGGGCCTCATGTCAGGAGGTGTGGGAGTACGTGATTCTGTGGCTCTACTCTGCACTTGAATCTGTACAGATGTCAGCTAAGGTAACTCCAGGTCTTCTTGGGACTGACAGTCTTAGCACACTTTCTGGGGCCTTATGATCCCAAAGCCAGGAGCTCAGAGGGCTTCAGGCTGCTGATACTTCCAGAAGGCCACCTCTCCATCGTCACTGCAGGAAGCCAGAAGTCCCCGCTCCTTGGGGTTCCAGGCCACACAGTTGACATCTTGGGAATGGGCCTGGCGCAAATGGGCTGTCAGGGAGAAGGTGGGCTGCTGCGGGTCAGAGCTGGGATCCTCCTCAAACACTCGGATGGCATCGTCCCCACATGCTGTAGCCAGGGCACCCGTCAGCTGGCACCTGGGAGGAACACGCATCAGCAGGTATGCAGGTGGCTCCTTCCTCCCCAGCAAGGAGACACGGTGGTTCTGCAGTGCCTGGCCTGGCCTCTTCCCAAGCTTCAGGCCTCAGTGCAGAGCCTCTGACTGAGGGTGTCTCTGATTGAGCCAGAGCCCCCAACAATACCTGCCTAGGCTTTGGATGCCTCCATCTAGTGTTCCTTCCGAAATAAGTAACCTGAAAACCACATGCAATTCCAAATGGCATGTTTCTCATTTAGCACAGCAGTTTCCCATGCTATAAAATCTTGATTTTTCTTTAAAAAACAAACAAGAAAACTATAATAGACTATTCAGTTTCATCATAATTTGCTTAAATCCACCTTTTTTCAATTTATTTGTAGAGATTATTACAAAAATTCTGCTAATGATAATATAAAGGTTGGACACACGTGCACTTTTCCCATTCAGGACTGTTGCTCAGGCCCAACTCTTGGGTCAGAACTGCTCTCTGCCCCACCCTCCTCTAAGAATAGCACGGCTTTCTTCACCTCTGTAAGAGCAAAGTCAGTGCTAACTTCTGTGTGACATGATGCTGAGTGAACCCTGGGGCTGGCACTGCCCTAAGAGCCCAACATCTTAACCGAGGCACAGGTTTGGTCTAAGTTGGCTGCCTGTCCCTGTGACTCCCAGCACAGTGGACAGGGCATTCTCTGCAGGAACAGGAGGGTGGTGGCAGGGGTAGGGGGCAGTCACTATTCCCCTCTCCTCCCCGGGTGGCAGAGTATGGCACAGGGTCATGCTGTCTCTAAGATCCCTGATTCATTGGGAGGGCACGGGGCTGGAAGCCTTACCAAGCAATGTCATAGATGGCCCTGGAGTGGAAGCCAGACAAAGTGCAGACACACTTCCAGCTGGGGGCAGAGCCGCTGCACACCAGTCCTGCAAAACACACATCCCTTCTGAGCCCGAGACCTCAGCCTGGTGACTGCACCCCTGCACATAGGGGTGCTGGCTCGACTTCCCTCACCCTGTCCGTCATCATCCATGACTTGGCCACCATCCTCACTGCCTTGCATTCACCTGGGCTGGGCTGGGCTGGGCCGGTCTTCCTCAAGTACAATTCTGGGAACGAAATACTCCTGCTCTGTTGTAGATCATACCCCTCAACTGTGAAGGCCACAACCACTCGCTTCCTCCCCAAACCCCCTCTCTGCCTCAGCTACAGGAGTTGCTGCTTGGTACATCAGTCTATGCTCTTCCCACCATCACTGCCTGCACTTATGCTGCTGTGTTTCCACCAAAATTCTGTTCTTGTGTTGAGTTCCCCCTCCTGTTACAGCCCTACCTGCCAATGACCTCTGTGTCACACAGCTTTGCCTCGTTCTTTGAGCATTCATCTGGAGCCCTCTCGTAGCACATGTTACTCTCACTCACCACAATTCAGGTCTGTGTCTTAGCAGACCATGCTCCTCTTGTGTCTCCCCCGGCCCCGCCAGAGTGACCCTTACCTTGCTCGTTGCCTGGTAGATACTGGCGCCAGATGCGCACGGTGCGATCGTCACTGCATGATGCTAGCCGCTGGCCACTAGGGTCAAAGGCCACGCTCCACACGGTAGATTCGTGGCCCTCCAGGGTGGCACAGCACACCCAGTCATCCTCTTCCTCCCGGTAGAGCTTCACGGTGTCATCATAGCTGGCAGAGGCTAGCAGCTATAGGAGGGAGGGAGAGACCCCGTCTGGGCCAGGAAGTGCCTCTGCCTTCCAATACCTCTGCCAGTTGGGGCAGCACGGTCCCAGGGATCATGCCGACTCGGAGGCTCATTCTTGCTGGTCACAGAGAAGAGATCCTGGCAATGCCAGGCTAAGATTGGACAGCTACCTGCTCACCTGGTGACCGGGCTTGACAATGCCTACCTCCTGGCTCGGGTGCCAGACCACATGCTTGACATCCTGCGTGTGGGAGTTGAGAACACTGACACATTCGTATTCATCCTCTTCATCAACTACAGGAGCGAAAAAAAAAGAGGGGGGAGGATGGAGCCAAAAGCCGACTCCGCAGGGACCCAGATGATGAGCTCCTTCTGAAGGCATTTGCACTCACCTTCCCAAACCCATACACTTTTATCTCGGCTACAGGTGGCCAGGAGGTTGCCAGATGGGGCCCAAGCCACGGACTTGACCTCATTTTCATGGCCCTCTAGTGTGGTGACACACTGAAAAGACAAGAAAGGATGAGAACATGGGATAAGATGCTTTGACCAGCCACAAGGAGCAAATGGGTGCTGCTCCTACTGGACCCAGTCCGTGGGCTCACCTCAAAGTCATCCTGGGTCTTCTTCCAGATGCAAGTGGTGGCATCAAAGCTGGCGGAGGCCAGGTAGTTCCCACAGGGTGACCAGGCTACCTTCCGCACAGTGCGCTGGTGGCCCTCAGAAAGGACAGACTTGCAGATCCAGCTGTCACCTGAGGGCAGAGGACAGGCCAGGCTTGGGGGCTGGCTGTGAGGAGGGGAAGGCCCCAACGCCATTGGGCAGCACGGCTAGGATTAGAGCCAAGCTGTAGGGACAAAGCTCAAGCTGATCCCTAACACCCTTATCTTTCATCTTTTCCTCTTATTAAAAGCCTTATTTATTCACTTGAAAGCGAAAACAAGAGACAAAAAAAGTTATCCACAGGCTGGTTCTCTCTCCCTTCTCCCAACCCAGATCCACACGATAGCCAGGTGTTGGGACACCAAGCATATGGGCCAGCATCCGATGCTTTGCCAGATGCAGGAACAGCCAGAATTCCAAGCAGCACTCCTATGGGAATGTCGGTGTAGTCAGCAGCGGGTTAACCTGCAGCACAACTACGCCCGGTCTCCAAACAAGTTTTTTCCAGGAGCAATTGCTATCTACAGCCCCCGGAGCCACCACCTGGAGGGAAACTGTCCGTGGACCTCAAATGCCTCCGGGCTAGAAGGTACACATGGGGTCCTGCGGGCTACTTCCCGAAGAATCCCAGCTTGTCTGTCCGACGTCTTCGCTTCCAGCACCTGCTGACTCCTTGGCCTATAAGACCGTCCCAAGGGTGGCTAACGTCCGTCTCGTTGGCAGCCCACCTCAGCCTGCAACGCCGCTCGGGGCCGGCCTTACCTTCGGTGCCCCAGATGCGGATTCTCCGGTCGCCACCGCACGAGGCCAGCAGCGTCCCCGTGGGGTTCCAAGCCAAGAACCAGCAGCGAGAGTCCGGGTGCGCCGAGACGCGGCTCAGCAGCACCAGCGAATCCTTCATGGCGCCCGGGTGCACGGAGGGGAGGAGCAGGGAGCGCAGTCAGCCGCACCGACGGCTGCTCCAGCCGCACAGGTCTCCGCGAAGCCCAGTCCAATTCCCGCGGCCACCCACACTTCCAGCTTCCGCCCGAAGAACCGGGGTCGCACTTGGAACCAGAACGCCCGCGGTGCGGCTGCATGGCCCTCTGGGAGCTGTAGTCGCTCTCCTCACCCCGACTCCCCCTCCGGAAGCCATCGTGGCAACGCCGTGAACTACCAGTCCCATGAGGCCCCGCGCATAGAGCCCGGCGGCGCGCCCTGGCCGTGACGCGCGGGGGCCGGGGCGGGGAGGCCGAGGAGGCGGAGGCAGAGGAGGAGGAAGCCGGAAGTGGATCGGCCTGGGTCGGTCCGGGCGTTGCGGGATTGGGGCCTGGGATCGCTCGGCCCCGGGCAGCCGAGAAGCCTGTGACGGGGCGGAGCGGCGCCATCCCAGTTCTGAGGCCTGCTGACCGGTGAGGAACAGCGGGCTACGTGGGGAGGGTCCTTTCCCTGCCCAGGTCGCACTCCCAAGTGCCCGTCCCGGGTCCCAGGTTCCCGCGGCCCAGCCTTGGTCCTCCGCCCCCTCAGCACCCTCTGGGCGAGACCCCGCGTCCGGATCCCCTGCCTGTCCCCGCAGCCGGTTCCCGGTACCTCCGTCTCTTCACTCGTTTGCCCAGACCCCTCCGAGTCGCTGGCTCACTCCAGGTCCTCGTCCCGCATCCTCATTCCAAAGTCCTCTGTCCCCGCCCCCCAATCGCCGCAGCGCTCCCGTCTCCGAGAGGGTCCCAGCCCCCATTCTCCGGGGTCCCACCCCCCATCCCCCGGGGTCGGCCTCCCTTGGGCCGAGACCCCAGCGCATTGCTCTTCCCGGGACCAGGCAGGCTCCCGTGCGCGCCCGGCCGGAGGTCGGCGGCTACCAGCAGCGACCGCAGAGCGACGGCCGGCGGCCCCGGGCATGTACGCCCCCGGAGGCGCAGGGCTGCCCGGCGGGCGCCGACGGAGGAGCCCAGGAGGCAGCTCTCTGCCCAAGCAGCCGGAGCGCAGTCTGGCTTCGGCCCTGCCCGGCGCCCTGTCCATCACCGCGCTGTGCACTGCCCTCGCCGAGCCCGCCTGGTTGCACATCCATGGAGGCACCTGTTCCCGCCAAGAGCTGGGGGTCTCAGATGTTCTGGGCTACGTGCACCCGGACCTGCTGAAAGGTGAGGGCGCTGCGTGCGGGAGGCTTGCCGGGCTCGGGGTGGGGTGGGTGGGCGGGGAGCGGGCTGAAGCCGAGCTGACTCGGGTGGAGGGACCACCCGGCGCCACTTGGCTCATTGCTCCCTGCTGTTCCTGCCCACCAGGTGGCTCTGTTTGGGGTCCGGCCCCTCATTAAATCTGATGTTATTCAGCTATGCACCTTCTCACTGCCATGCTAATCCGGACGGCTGCTATTTTAGGCTCTGCCGGAGGAAGGGCGCTGTGTACAGAGAAAAGATCAGGGGGCCGGGTATCACAATCAGCTGCTCCCTTCTTCAAAATCAGCTGCTCCCTTCTCAGGACCTGCGGATACAGAAAGGCTGCTCCGGTGCAGGCTGAGGGATGGAGACAGGGGAACTCTGAACACGAATAGATTTTAAAAGCTATTTTAGAGTTGTGTGGCATTTGGATTTTTATTGGAGAAAAACAACAGTGTGACCTTTTAGGTCCCTCAGACATCAGTTCCATTGTGGCCGTCAGTTAGAGTTGGACTGGAGTCTTGGGAACCATGACAAGGGGGCCTTCCTGGGGTGAGGTTGCTTTGTGGGCCTCTTGCTTCCCCATCTGGTAGGCAACAGAAAGCAGCTGTTGATGTGATTGAAGGCAAAGACCAGTGCCTGCAGGAGGGTGGGTCTCGGAGCCACAGGGCCTATCTTGCCCAGCCCTGTGTGTGGTGTGAGGGCAAGGTTGGCAGCACTGGGTGTTTGTGTAAGAACGATCAGTACTTCTCTCTCCCCCGCAAACAACCCTTGGTAGCAACACAGTTGGTCACTGCTTGGTTTTTCTCTACCCAGGCCTTGTTCTGGAAGGTCTGTGCCATTCCCTGGCTGCGATACCTTGCACATGTCTCCTGCTGTGCATGTCTCAGCCTTCACTTGCATGCTGTCTCTTGCAGGATTCTGGCACCTGGATTGGCAGAGAGGGCCCTGCTGCCCTCCCTGCCCTGGGTAACGCATCCCTTGTTCAAGGTGAAGAGGGTTTGAAAGCTTCCCCCTTTCCTCAGGTCCTGTGTCTGTCTCTCTCTCTGAACCACCTGTTAAAGTGTTGCTTCTTTCTCAAGTTTTAGAGACTTGAGGAGGGTGATTTTGTAGAAAGCAGGATTTGGGGTAGGGGGGTTTGTTCCCACATTTCATCTAGATGGTGCCATTGCCTGAACTGGCCCTTGACCCACGGTGGAGGCCTGGCACTGTGTGGCCCTTTTTTCTGGCATGTAGCTGCTGGTGAGCCATCGAGGTAGAGTGAATCTGGAAGGCTTTCCCCTCAGCTCATGCAGCTGCACTTGCTTTCCCCAAAGCACAGCTGCCGCTGGCTGCTACTTCTGTGTTCATCCTCCGTTGTTTCGGTGTTTAAAAAGTTCAGCATCACCCACAAACTGGGAGAGAGCTCACCAGGCTTCCTGCTCGTAGACCATCCCTAGGAGGGGCTCATGGAATTCCTTGCTGTGGAAGGAGAGGTGATTTGATCTCTGACAGCCATATTTCTTAGATGTAGGGAGCTGTGATTCAGAAAAGCAAAGTGGCACCACCAGCCCACCCCGCCCAGGCCACCCAGCTGGGACTGGCGTAGGTGAGACTGTCTTGCAGCTCCTGATGTCCTTATAAAGTGAGGCTGTCCCATGTGCACTTCTTTTCCTTTGTTTTTCCTCAGCTGTCAGAAGAGCAAGCTCATGACCATCCCACTGGGTGTGCATCTTTATCAAAGCCATGTTAAAAAAGAATCAGGCTACAACCCCTTGTTTGTTCACACATGTATTTAGCTTCCCTGAGAAACTACTCAGAGCTGATTGTCTTTCAGGAAGCGTGTTGCCTTCACCTTTCCGGTACTGTGGCTCACATCACCCCTGTGTCGCTTTTCCCAGGGTGCCTCTGGCCATGTCCTTGGTCGTTGCGAGCCAGGAACACTCGGTGTCCCTGGAACTGTCCTAGAAGGTTCCTGAGAAGAGGGTGCTCCTCTTTCTTTTCTCCAGTTTGGGTCCCCAGATGTTATTTGGCCTTCATACATGGGGTGCCCTGTGTGACTGCTGACTGGAAGCCTGATGGGAACAGTGCTGGGACTACCAGCACCCCGCCTGTGTGCGCATGCAGGCTTGATCCCAAGTACACCCCTGCCTGCCTCTCATTGCTGCTGAAGAACGTTTTGCTGGGTAGACGCTGTCCTCGGCCTTGGTTTGCCCAGGAGCTCCGGGCAGGGAGTTCAGTCATGTGCTCGGAAGCATCCCGCTCACCCGAGTGGCCTCTGCTCCAGAGCCCACATCCTGACCCTCCCGCCAAGTGTGCCCCAGGTTTCTTTGCCCTTCGTCCTCCAGAGCTGCTGGAGACTTCTCATTTGCCTATTCTCCCTGAGCTTTTGTCACAAGCCCTGCCAAATCTGAGCTTTCCTACTTGGGTCTGGTTTGGTAATCCAGAAGCAGAGCCCCTTCCCCTCCCTGTGTCCTTCCCAGGTGCCACCGAGGCTTTTGCAAATACAGGCTGGATTAAAAGACTCTCTTCTCTCGGGCAGCCTGCCTCTCACCCATATCTGTAATCCCTGGCCCAGAGACTTGTTGGGGCCTCTGGTGACCCCCTGGGAAAGGAAGTCCCAGACCAGACCCCGCCTGACTCTCCAGTGCCTCCAGTAGCCTCCAGAAACAGTGTTTGAAGAATGAGGAAGTGCACGATTTGAAGTCAGGTGAATCCTGACGGATAACATCCCCTGGAAGATCAGGGAGCTTCCAGGGCTGTGAACCTGCTGGGTGGGTGCAGGAGCAGCTGGCACTGCCAGGTCCTGCACGGCCCGACCCCAGATGAAGATGTCTGCGATCTGGGGTGACATCGTTCGCCAAAGGTCTTGTCTGAACATTGAAGAGTCACATAGGGAGAGCTGGGCAGATGGATTCAATCCTCAGAGGAGGGCTGGGATAAGGCAGAAGTGCCCCTAACTGACGAGAAGCCAACCAGGAGGGAGGGGGGAGATGAGCCCAAAGTGGGGAGCTGCTCATCAGCACTGTTGGTCCTTCCTGCTGCAGCCTGTGTGGGTCAAGGGTGAGTTACAGCAGAGACCAGTAGACAGGAAGCGCTTGGCCTTCAAAACAAACCCAGCCGGTGACTCACCATTGACCTTGGGCAAAGTCAGTGCCGTGGGATCTTATTACACAGCAGCTGCCTTCCTCCCTGATGACTGGAGGGGGACAGGCAAGCGACAGGCACCAAAATAAACAGGTTGGAGCACAGCTGAGGGAGAGGGTGTGCTTTGTGTCGGGCCAGCCTGTGGTCCCCTGACCCACTCACTGGCTTGAACTGAAAGTCAGAGCCTGGCCCTGTGTGCCTTTCCTCTCCCACCCATAAAAGCACCTGGACATCACCTTTGGAGACTTTGTTTCTCCAGCTGTCCTCTCAGGGGGGCAATGTTGGTGGTCTTCCCAACTGTACTGTTGTCTAGGAAGAGGGGAGGGAGATGTTGAGCTAGTCAGCTCAGAGATACCCTGAGCTGTGCCCTGTGTGTGGAGGAAGCTGCTGGCCTTCCTGGAGGTGGAGCAATTGTTTGGGGAAAGCTCTGGGGGCATCCATGAGCACCCCCAGAGTGGGAGAAGCACATATTTACTTTTCCTGTTGACCCTGAGGGCTTACTCACAGCTTTGGAGTGAAGAAAAGCAGTTAACATTGAAATAAAATCTGTTGGGGGTTTTGGGTCAAAAGTCCCTTTTTGGTCCCCATTTTTCACTGTGGAGGGCAGACCCGGAGTCTGGCTTTGTGGGCTCCGAGTCCAGCCCACACTGCCATGATTCTGCCATGACCCCAATAAAACAGCCCCTGGCCAGTGCCCAGGGACAATCACCATACAAGTGGCTGCTGTCTAATTGTGTGGTGTCAGCTGACCTTCCCAGCAAGCCCTGCAGTGGGCGGGGCGGGTGTCATTGCTCATGTTCCAGTGATGCCGCCAGAGGCCCAGGATAGTCAGGTCACCTGTGCACAGCATGCAGTCTGCGGGACATTTTGGATGTGGCCCCAGGTCTAGGGCCTTCCTGGTGTCGGGTCCACTTTGCAGAACTGGATGTGGAGGACAGCAGTGCTGCCCAGACCTCCACACACCATCTCAAGGAGCTTTGACTTAGGAATTGGTCACAGGGACATTTCTCACTGCTTAATGACCCAGACCTTTCTGCCTTTTTTGTTTTTGTTTTTGGGATGTTACTTTTCCGTACTTCCGACTGTTTTGTGAGTTCAGCAGCTGCTGGCTCTGTGGATGCCTCTGACAGCACCAGCCTCCTGCAAACTTAATTATCTCCATCAGGTCAAAACACAGCAGCTGGCTCAGGTGCTGTGCGGTTCCTAGGAGCTTGGAACGAGGGAGCCCTTGCTCAGATTGGGAGTCTAACTGCCCTGCAGGACCTGAATGAAGTCAGCCTGCCCTCCCTGAACCTCAACTCCTTGTCTAAGCTGAACAGTGAGTCTCCTCCAAGCTCCTACCACCCCAGAGGGGCCAGCGAGGATGGACACAACTTTTTTTCCCCTAAAGATTTATTTATTTTTATTGGAAAGGCAGATTTACAGAATTGAAGGAGAGACAAAGATCTTACATCTGCTGGTTCACTCCCCAAGTGGCCACAGTGGCCAGAGGTGAGGCCAGGAGCCAGGAACTTCCTCCGGGTTTCCCACTTGGGTGCAGGGGCCCAAGAACTTGGGGTCATCCTATGTTGTTCTCCTAGGCCACAAGCAGGGAGCTGGATTGGAAGTGGGGCAGCCGGGACATGAACCGGTTGCCCATTTGGAATGCTGACACTTGAAGTTGGAGGATTAGCTACTGATGCATCATGCTGGACCCTAAAAAGAACTTAAAAAAAAAATTGTTATTTTATTTGAACAGGTTGGGGAGGCTAGGGGGTGGGGTGGGGAGGAAGAGAGAGAGAGAAAGAGGATATGATATGGATTAATGAGAATCTGGTTCACTTCCCCACTTCCCAAATGGCCACAGTGGCAGGGCTGTT